TTTTTCATTCATATTCTTCTCTATCTGCAATCTGTGCCAGTGAGGGGCTCAGGGGAACTGGGTGCACCAGAGAAAGAGGCTGGGCCCAAGGGTAGGTCGTGGCCACCTGGGTGGGAGGCTCTGCTCTGCCCAGGGAGGAGGAAGAGGAGCAGCTCCTGGTGCCCTGGAGCGAGGGGCTGCCCTGTCCCCCCTGGGCTTCCTGCTCTGCTGCCCCCAGGGGAGGCTCCTCAGGGAGGAAGAGCTCCCAGGACTCTCCTGTAAACCACACAGGGACCGGGCAGGACAGCCCAGGGGAGAAGAGGCTGTGTGGACACCTGGGACTGTGTATGTGAGGCATGAACCCTGCCCAGCTCTATCCTTTGTGGGAGGACACAGTGCACAGAGGGGCAGACAGGACACATGGGCAGGTCTGGGTCTGGGCAGCAGGGGGCGCTGTGGCCTTTCCCTGAGACCTGAGTTTGGGTCCCAACTGAAAGCGTCACCTGCCCTGGTCTGACCCCTCTGCCCTGTGGTCACTGAGCCAGCAGCTATGTCCTCACAGGCCTCTGGAGCACCAAAGAACAGGACCATTCAGGCCTACCCCTCCGAGGACCAGCTTCCCAGACAGGGGTCAGAGGCAGAGCCTTGGGTGGGCTGGGACATCCAGGGGGAGGTTGGTTTGCATGAAGGATCCATCCCTGTCCCTGGGCTTCTAAAGGGGCTAAGTGGGACTTAGGGGGCTCAAGCCCTGATCCTCAGGATGTGGAATGTATGGGGGTCTCCAGCACGGGTGGTCCCTCTCCTTCTCCTCCTTCTCGCTCACTACACAGGGGCCTTGTTCAGGCATCAGGCTGGGCATGAAAGGACCAGGGACCCTGGGTGTGTCCCTGTCCACTGACCCACCCTTCTCCCTCTGTTATCTGTCCAGAAGTTCAGGGTCTTGAGCCCAGTCTGTGCTGACTTGATGGCCTGCGGCCCCTGAGCCAGGTGGCAGGCAGCCTCCATGTCCTTCCTAGAAGCAGCTATGATTGTCAGTGTGGCTTTTCCTATGGGACCAGCAGCTCCCAGGCTGTGCTGACTCAAAACCCTGTGGTCAACAACCCCCTATCCTGCAGGAAATGGCCGTGCTCTGACAGCACATCTGGATTGGTGTCTGTGGGGTTCAGTGACCACTGAAACCTTCACCCCAGTCAGTCAACATCAATGAGGCTGAGCAGGGCAATGTTAGTGGGAGCTCCTTATACCCCAATGCCCCCCCACCTGATGGTGGGGGGCCCCTAGGTGGAGCTGAAATTCAACCCCATCTCCAGCTAAGTGATGAATGAAGAGGGACATGGCAGGATGGTCAGCCCTATAGGACGCCCACTCTGACCCTGACTGAGGGGATCTTGGAAACCAGAGGAGCTGAGCACTGACTCCCACCTGGTGATTAGAGCACTGGACAGGGGAACAGAGTCAGGGTCACTGTCACTCAGCTCTCCACTCTCCTCCCTGATGTCAGAGTCACAACAGAGTCCAGTAGGTAGCTAATCTCACACCCCCTCTTGAAGGGGTCACATTGTGCAAATCACTGTTCCCCTGTCCCCAGGAAGGTGTCAGCAGCTCGGGGGCAGTGAGCATCAGGCCCCCCTCAGCTGGGCCAGTGGGGAGCTGAGCCCACAACCCCAGGGCCTTGTGCTTCACCTCAGTGGTGGTGGGGGGTGTCCTGATACAGAAGGTTAAAGAGAAGCCAGAGTCTCCTAATGTAATATCCACAATGTCAGGGGTGCAAAAGATGTCACTGGTCATGTCAAGGGGCAGAAACATAACAACTTACAGGAGAGATGAAAATCAATACACAAGACCACTGATGTAACTCAGATGCTGAAATTATCTTACAGATTTTCAACTACAAACACTTTTCAAACAAATTGAAAAGGGGAACCTATCAGAAATCAAATTCAAATTTTAAAAATCAAACCAAATATAAATTTTTAAAAACCTGAAGAATATAATAGATGGAATTTTACAAAGAAAGTTCAGGAGGGACTCAGGAACTGGAAACATCTGATTGTCCGTCATTGGGGAAGTTACTCCATCCAACAGGAGAATAATGTAAAAATAATGGAGTGAAGACATGAAAATGGGTTTGACTTGTGGGGGAAAAATTTAGTGGATATTGTTAAATAATATTTATTTGTTCAATGAAAGAAAGGGCTACATTTAGCTCCTCATAATCAGCCCAGTCACATTCTCCAGAGGATGTCACCAAGGGGCCCTGGGGACTTTGTCAGAGCTGAGCAAGGCCTGAAATAAACTCACAGGATTCACCTGGGCCTGTGCTCCCTGGAGCCCTCACTCACTCTGTCCCCAAAAGGGATGATCAATCTGACCTGTAGCTCCAGCCCTTGAGAGGCGACCAGCAGTCCCTGTCCACCTGTCCACCAGAAGTCTGGACTTGCCCCCGACTTTTGATTCAAGATACAAAGAAGAAACACTACTGGGCTCCCACCCAGTCACCAGGATCCCTGCTGGGGATGGAGCTGTCCTGTCCCCCTCAGGCCCCAGCCAGAGGACACAGTACTACTCCTGGCTACACCACAGAGGTGTTCAGTGAGCGACCCAGATGGGGACCAAGACACGAGCCTGCTCTTAACCCAGCCTGGGTGGAGATATGATCATAATATACCTGGATCACATGACCACATGCCTCAATTCTCACGACAACCTAAACTGTGACTATACAAAGAAAAATAGGTGATGGGACATGTCTGAACTGAATCCTATGTGTGTCTGAGGCTTAGAGCTGAGAAAATGATGGATGATTTGTGAAGAACTGGTCCAGAAAGCACGGAATCCAGTGTGCTGTAATCCCAGCCTGCCTCAGAGTGAGGGGCTGGACTCAGTGTCCACAGACGATGGCCTCTGCTGGCCATGCACAAAGGGCAGGAGACTTTCCTTAAAATATCATTAACGTTGTATTTTGTTGCATTCTGAAGTGATAACAGTTCATTGCACAAAAATATTAGAAAGTAAGTTTTTGAGAAGTGTTCTTCTTAAATAATACACGTGAACCTTATTTCAGAATCCGAGTGTATTTCCTTCACATTTGTTTTCAAATTTCCAGCTCCTGTAATCAAATCACATCAATAAACATAGTGTACCTTCTATTCACTTCTCTAGTCATCCAAGATTCACATAAGTAATTTTTGTTTTCTTAAAAAGGCTATTTTACTGACCATTTTATATTATCTTATTCTAACTGATAATAATGTATTATAGTATTTGTCTAATTCTATGTTTTCAAGGATCAATAAAGATGTGGTGATACTATCCTTACTAATGAGACTTGTTATTATCAAATCATCATTATTAACACACTTCTGGGTATTTATGTGCATTTTGTGTGGTGAGAGGATGATTGCTGCCATACTGAATGGGAGGCAAATGGAGAAACCAGATGTGAGTCGGCTGGGTCTCTGTGAGAAGGACAGATTGAGTCTTAAGGGACAATTCAAAAGCAAATTCATGCATGTGAGTTTTAAAACAGGAATTCCCAAAATTTAATGAGCACATGACATTTCTGGGAATCTTTTAAAAGGTAGATTTTGACTCACTGGTTCTTGAGTAGACCTGAGATTTTGATTTCAAGCAAACTATCTGACATCCAAAATCCACATAGAATTCCACAAGAACCTGTGAGAATTCCATGAAAAAGAACCAATGAGTTGAGATTTTAAATCCAACAGCAGAGGACAAATGGGAAAATCAGTGTTTCTTGCTTTAAAAATCGTACAAACAGCAAACAAAACTTACTGTGACCTGAGCTCTTTCCAGTTTGGGCTCCATGCCCCAGGGGCTTCTTCTGCTGACTTCCTTCCCCACCCTCCAGCCACCCTGGTCTGGACTCATAGGTCCCCTTCTCAGTTCCAGGGTCACTCTACTCTCTCTCCTCCCTCTTCACTGTTGTGACCCCTTTAGTTATTTAACAAGGTCTTCATAACAGAAAAGTTATTG